TTCTAAATATTTACCAAGGGGAGGTGGCTATTCAGTGAGAGGAGCCAGATCTGACAGTGAATTCTCCTGTTCACCTCCTACACTCTCCCCTGATCTCCATCTCCCTCCCCAAAGCCAGGAGACCCTCCCTTCCTAGGGCTATCGATGAAAGAGACTTCGCTGTGATAACCCCAGCTAATGCCACATGATGATTCTGGCACAATGACCACTACATGTACTCTTGCTCTCCAACTACTTCTCTAAAATTAAGGAGTAACCAAAGAGTAACCATAAAAGCTGATCAAGTCAAATACAAACTACTTTAAGGATAAAATACCTTTTTTAAAGTAACCTCTGTCCTATATTTTTGACTTGTAATAATCTGCGTTCTTTCAGAGCCCAGTGGACTTCTATGGACTTCCCTACCTGGTCTCATTATAGAATCAAATTTCTCATGAGCACAATTATCTTCATGCCTGATCTTCCCAAGTCAATTGGCAAATGTTAATTTGCAAGTCGGAGGTTACAAAAAACAAATATGGATAATGAAGAAATGCATTCCATATCACTTCAAACCTCCTACTGGCCATGTTTCCTACATTTTTAGGTCTTAGGCAAAGAGTAAAATTTTGTGTTTGATTTTGAAATTTCAAACAACATTCTCCAAGAACAATTTGATGATTAGATTTAGATTAAAACAGGCATCTGACAGTCCCAGTAGTTCCCTAAAGTTCTTTTCCACCCCTCCTAGAAAAGGTAGAAATTATTTCTTAAGATCCATACTATCTCTAAAGTAGCATGCATGCCTTTTCTGTAAAAATGTAAATCCACCCGTGCATTGCTAACAAGCAATGGAAAGGTTACAGTCCAATGAAATGTTCACACGTCTTCTCTCTCGGCTATGGTAAATACCTCTTCTTTTTTTAGAGTTCACTAAGATGTAAGTATTGGATAGTAAAGTATGCCCTCATAATCGCCTCAAAAAGACAAAAACAAAAACAAACAAGCAAAAAACAAAACCAAAAAACCTTAGTGGTTCAGTTAGGTAGAACTTCAAGAAGTAAACCATCCTGACCTTGAGAGACAGAGGAGACAAGAAAGAAATGGGCTAGAGCAATAAGTATGGAAGTAACATAAACGACCAGGTAAACTGCAGCCAGGTCTCACCTTTCAGCAAATAACTAAACAGACTGAAGGCTAAACTCAGTGACCTCAAAGGTCCCTTCCAACTCATAACATTGTTTGCCTCATGAATTTTTTATAGACATCCTCTGTTCTATCACACTGTCCCGATGCATCATTGAGCTTTCTTGGCCATTTCCAGGTCTGAAAGGAAATTTTGCTTAAAAAAATACGTAAGTAAATCTATGCTTTGACAATGCCAAAATTACAATTCTGTCCTTGAAACAATGACCCAAAGATAATGGACTAGACTAAGAAAACCTCTGAACAAATAAATGCCCGATACTGTCTTTATGCAATGTTTTTTAAGCTTCTCTGTTTTAAGCAGAATTACTACCCGAAGTCTTGGGAGCCAAGATTATGAAGCTACGAGACAATGCCCCAAGCAAATCTTTCCAACTTGTACTTCCACCCTGCACCAGTGTCTAACCTTCAAAAGACATGGAACCAAACAGCTGAGCTTGAACCCTGGCCCGCTCTCTCATCAGCTACATGATGTGAGACAAGTTACTTAATACCCCAAACCTGTTTCTTCATTTTTAAAATGCTGATAATATGAGCTACCTTGCAGAATTACTGTGACAAATAGGATAATACAATGAAAACTCTGAGCCTTCAACTATTTATTCCCTTATTCGTTCAGCAAAGATTAACAGAGGATCCACAACCAGTCAGGCACTGAGCTAGGCAACGGTACTTAAAAAATAGAACAAATGAATGCCATTATTATTTTTATTTACCCAAAACTGTTCCCAGAACTGTGACAGACTCCGAACTTTCACTCTCACCCAGTTTGCCTCACACCTAGTCACTTTATTTTACCAAATGTGATCCCAGGTGAGAGTCTGCCTTCTGCTGCGTCTTTATCCCCAAAGCTAATTATCCAGCAGGTGTTCTGCTACAGGACACCTTCGGAGCACTTGGAAGCATCCACTACTGGAGCAAAAGGTGGTATCTCAGCTCCCTGCTGGGCAAGCCACTCAGGAAAACTTGATATGCCTGTGCTGCAAGGCCAGGCCTAGATGCCTGAGAGTTTTCAGGTGCTTTCAATTCCACAAGCAGACTGAGTCCTCCGAGAACTCAACAGTAACAGGACTGGCCCGTCCCCAACCACTGCCACTGGGCCGCTGATAAAGCTAAGTGCGGCAGGGGGAGGGTCACACTTTCATCATACAGTGAGTCCCCAACTTAGGACCTTTTGAGCTGCAAACTTTCACAGGTGTACTGTTTGAGATTCACAAGTGTACCATTATAAGACTCACTTTGTTGGATTACAAACAAATGTGAGTTACGAGCATGCTCCCAGAAGAGTTCATTCGTAAGTCGGGGACTTACTGTACAGGGTTTATGTCTTTTAACTGTGTTTTAGAGTTTGATAAAACTCTCTATAAACAACCCACCTCTGGAGTTCACTGTTTTCAAGGCTGGTGGGCCCTTCTTTATCTTAAACTTAGTATCCCTTTTGCTAGGTAACCCGAAAACCTCTGGACAAGCACAGGCTGACCTCCTTAGGGTGCAGGGCATTCAGTACACTTGAACAAACATTTTGCACTTATAAGTTTCCAATGGCGTCCTGGAACTCAGAGCTCCTAGCAAAAGAGCAAAAGTCTGATCCTGGAATAGACTTCCATGTGCCATCAATCAGGGAAGGAGAAGGGGTGTCAAGGAGGGAATTCTAGAGTGAAATTCAGACGCATCTGTGAAGCTAACGACAGGTCATCAGACAGTTCAGATGTGCCTAGAATTTTTATGTTGCAGATGCCTTTCCTTCAGGAGCTACGGGAATCACCTTCCTTAAAAAAGAAACATGCGTGGTGACTGCCAAAGGGCTGGGTTTTGCATGGCTGCATCCTCCTGGAGGCGACAACCCAGCCTCTCCCCAAAGAAGTTCCAGGAGAAAAGATTCACTGCAAACCTACCCCCAACCAGATGCATCTACAATTTTACCAAAAACCAAAAAGTGCTTCATTTTCCTTCCGCAAGTTAAGTATGTTATTAACTCCTAGCACCTCTAATTGCTCACTGTTGACAGTAGTTTGGATATTAAGAGGCTATATCTAAGGCCCTACCTGAAGCTGGTTGTCATGGAAACAGTATACAAGCCCCTCCAAAGTATAGGCAAGTTGGTGAGAGATTATATTACAGCCCCTGTTATTGCTCTCATTTTCTGCTATTTCTTGGGGTCAAATTGGTGACGGAGGAGAAACTGGTGAGGAGGGTGAGTGGACAGGGGAACCCTGGAGGAAAGGAACTCTTTCGGAAAGGTGGAGCGTAGGGGAGGGGATCCTGGAGAATGGCTCTGGCACTTGGTTCTTTCCTCGGACTACTCTGGCTGCATCGTGCCCATCGCCTAGAGGCCTGGCCCTCTCCGCTGCCCTGTCCTGTCCTCCCCATTGGGAGCTGGGCAGCCCGGGGAGCGCGCAGCCAAGTTCCAGAAAAGATCAAAGCGGCCCCGAGGCCAAGGAGCTGGGCAGCGGGAGACAGAGGGAGCAGCGCGGAGGTCGGACAAGCAAAGGCGGAAATCCTCGGCGCCCAGGCGGTGTCCGGTTCCCCGCGCCCCGGCGACTCCAGTAGCCGGCTCTCCAAGCGAGCGC